CGCCAAGTGACAACAAATACCACAAAAATAAGGAACCAATTTTAAACCTTGTACAGTTTTCTCAATGACTCATCATGGAGCTGACAATTGAGCCAACCAGGTTGGAGTGTCAGGAAGGAATTAGCTTTTTCTTCAGAGTGATAAAAATTCTGGTAGTTGCACAACACTGTGAAGGTAATTAATACCACTGAATTCTATACTTAAAATTGGTTAAAATGGCAAATTTTATGTTACATACATTTTCACCACAAAAAGAATTCAAATGATGTTGGTAGAGTTTTTTTTTCTTGGGAGAGTAATATTTTTTAATGTCCTTGTTTAGTCATCTTAAATATATTGCCCACTTTTGTCTTGTTTTGTGTTTTACATTTTATTAGTCTAGGAAATCCAGTCACGACCCTACTTCATTTATACCCCAATGAGAAAGTAACCAATGCTAAGACTGGTTATTTTGCACAATCCACAATTCACTGTAAAAAGACAAACTTCAATCTGTAACACTTCTTTTTTTCTGTCATATGTATTCCTTCAGCAATGAACTGCCATAAAAAAAATGATTATACTTTTAAAAGAACTAAGAAAAATAGGTAATAATCCAATCCATGGGATGCCTGGGTGGTTCAGTCGGTTAAGCCGCTGGCTTTGGCTCAGGTCATGATCCCAGAGTCCAGGGATCAAGTCCTGAATTGGGCTCCTTGCTTGGCAAGGAGCCTGCTTCTCCGCCTCTGCCTGCTGCTCTGCCTGCTTGTGTGTGCGCTCACTCACGCTCTCTCTCCCTCTCTCTCTCTCTCTCTCTCTCTCTCTCTGACGAATAAATAAATAAATAAATCTTTGAAAAAAAAATCCAATACCATATTTCTACATTGTTTTTCTGCAACTAATTAATTGCTTGTGATCTCTTGTTTGCAAGAGATCATCTAAATGACACAGCAATAAGAAGATGAGTTGTTTGGTCATGGAGTTGCTTTCATAATTTGGTGAAATTGAATGATGTCCCCTGGATTTCACAGCAGAATTCATAAAATAATAATGAAGCCCTGCTGTTTCCCCTGGAGACAACTGTGGTCTTTGAAGGGCATCAAATCTTTCAAGTCACTGTCATTGATACTCACTAATAGAAATATGACATTTCAAAAAAAAAAAGAAATATGAAATTTCTGTGACTTACAAATTAAACTTTTCCAGTCCTTTCGAAATAAGCATATGTATGCTGCCTAGTTTTATGTATTCTTTCATATTTTTTATTAAAATTTTTAAAAACACAAGAGTGCTTATTCTGATGATCAGGTTTATTTTTAGCTCTTGCATTTTATTTGCTTTGCAACTGCAACAGGTTGATTTAAACGTTAATTTCAAACCACTTAGGTTTTTGCAGTCAAGGATGAAATTCAAGACTTACTAGGCAAGCCAGGTGCAAAGTTGAACAATTGGGTGCAAAGTTGGTCAGTCGAGCACTCATGTTCCATCCCCTTTCCTGCTCTTTGTCCCTGCCCTCTCACCTCTCCAGCTGATGTGTTTCCTGGCTCACCCCCATCATGACTACCTGCCATGATGAGCCTGACAAAAATCCCAAAATCAATATTTTCATGAGGCAGACCAGTCAGTGAAACACCCTGACTCACAGGCCAGTGCTCCCTCCTATATCTTTTTTGTTCTGCATCAGGTCACTCTCACCAAAATGCTCAGTGATTTATGATCTGCAGTGCGGATCTTCTAAAAACAAGCAAACTAACAAAAAGCATTGTTCTCAATGCCATGCTGGTGGTTTAGATTAATGAACACTGATGACCCTCAATCACCTGATGTGTTACACATTACACGTCTTTCTTAACCTTCCAGCCATGGACTTCTGGCATTGATTACCTCCATGCCCAGCCTCCCCACCCCCTGCCGCCCCCCAAAAATAAGAATTACAGAATTTTAGACATTCTGGCAGGCTTGTTAGAAAAACTATTTTGTGGGAGATCAGTAGATTTTTGGTATCTGCTCTATTCTCAGTATTATACCATATAAGTCATCATCTACTCACAAAGTTGGATTATAAGCAAATAGTACCTAAAAAAATTAGAAGCTTACACTTCTAAAATACTACAAGATGATGTGTAGTTAACCACAGGGGGAAAAAAAAATTAGAAGTCTCAGTCCCTTGTACAAGAGTTTTGATCTTTGCTTTGACTCTTTAATTTATGAAGCACTCAGACCTTGTATTCATTCTGGAACACCTGATGATTATGTGGAACCACAGAATAATTTCTACGTCTCCTTTATCATACAGTTGGCATTTTATGTATTTTTTCAGCCCACATGGTTCAAAGTTTTATAAGTAAGTGGAGTTGATGAGGGCCAAAATTATGCTCAGTGTCAGGTGGTATCATATTTGAGAAAAACTGGGAGATCTACGCAGTAGGAACAGTTAACGGTGAGTGCACACTTACTTTTGATCAGACCTGACTGTGAGTGCTCCACATGTCTAAGAGGTCAGCTAGACAAGCTAGATATTACTATCCTTAATTCACAGGTAAAGAAATGAGAGCTTAGGGGGCACCTGGGTGGCTCAGTGGGTTAAAGCCTCTGCCTTTGGCTCAGGTCATGACCCCAGGGTCCTGGGATGGAGCCCTCCATTGGGCTCTCTGCTCAGCAGGGAGCCTGCCCCCACCCCTGCCTGCCTCTCTGCCTACCTGTGATCTCTGTCAAATAAATAAATAAATAAAATCTTTTTTTTAAAAAAGGAAGAAAGAACTGAGAGCTTAGAGCTTACACAGCTTGCTCAAGGCTACAGAGCTATTAATCGAGGAGGTGAGGTTATAACAAGGTATCACATCGCAACCCTTGTTCCTAACTACTGTAATATCCCTTGTCCCTGTGGATTTGGACATTAGCTTTGACTTGAAAGTAAAAATCTTGTGAGAGACATGAAACTGCAGCCTCCTATAGCCCTGTGTCAGGTTTCAGCTCAAGCCTTGGCAGGGGAAGCTCACCACCCAAGTGTCCTTCCAGGCACCCGGATAGGAGATGTTCCCTATACCCCTCAGGCATTACTGAGCAGTCTACAGCACTTTCCTCGCCCCTGGAAAGAAGACATGTGCGGATGCAACAGTTGGCATATTGTAGGGGGAAGATAACAGGTAGGGGAGCTACCTATGTATCTACCAATATAGAACTAATCTATATTGGAGAGATTTACCTTTCATCCCTTATGATTCTATGATCCTAAATAAAAAGATAATAAAATCTAAAGGAAATGCTTAATGAACTAGATTTAGGATTCATTTTAATTAAGCCATTATCCTCTTATTTATTATCTATTCCAAGACGGGGCATTAATGGCTTTGTTAAACTTTTCAGTTTCTGTGGATTGGGGCTGACTTATAAATGAAATATGGCCATTTTAAAATAATCATTCTGGGGCACCTGGGTGGCTCAGTTGGTTAAGCGACTGTCTTCGGCTCGGGTTGTGATCGGGCGTCCCGGGATCCGGTCCCGAATCGGGCTCCCTGCTCAGTGGGGAATCTGCTTCTCCCTATGACCCTCCTACGTCTTGTGCCCTCTCTCTCTCTCGCTCTCGCTCTCTCATAAATAAATAAATAAATCTTTAAATACGATCATTCTGATCGTATATGTTAAAAATATAACCACTGTGTCTCTCTTTGGACACTTTTTATTTTGAAATCTGAATTCTGTGTATGCCGTTAAATAAGTAAGTTATGGGATCTGTCTGGAGGTGAGTGGGTGCTCTTCCTGACCTGTGCATCCTAAATGATTCACAGCTGAGATTTACGCAGTCCCTACTTGCTTCAGGCAGGAAGGGCAGCAGAGGTTCATGCAAAGCAGTTTTTGGCAAGCTTCAAAAGCTGTGTGTAGATGGGAAGGTATGTCCGTGTCCAAGAGTTTTTATATTGCTTTCTCATTTTCCAATCTTGCATGCCCTCAAGAGACCTTGTCAAGGTCAAAGGCACAATAAGCTCACCGGGTGGTGGGGGGAACCCCAGGGAAAGCCAAGATGTGAAAAGCACAGCTGGCTCCCTGGGGAAGGGCAGCCCCAAAGACTTGGCAGGCAGGGACGATTGCAGTGTTCTCCAGGAGCCTACCTCGGTCTTGGAGTCGGGAGGAGGGAAACCAAAGGGCAAGGAAAAGAAAGGTGGGAATGAGATCTACTAGAAAACAAGGTGTATCGGAAAGCAAAGACAGGGGGTAGAAGGAGATTTAAGGGAACAAAGAAACAATTATTTGGTTAATCAGGAAATAAATACAACTTTGGATATACTTTCAGCATATCAGTTTTGAGGACTATATTTCAAAACCTGGAGGGATTCTTTGGCTTTTTGTTTGTTTAAGCATTGGCTAAAAATACCTTTCTGATGTCTAGTCTTTGTGTGAAAGTAAAATACATACATCGTGTGTGAAATGCTTGAGAATAACATATCACAACTGTATATTTGAATAGAAACCACAAATGTGAGTATATTTTCTTTGGCCAGAATAGTACAGTGAAAATTGATCACGTTGCTTTATAATTTTGCTACAATTAAAATAAATATTTATTGTATTAGAAAGCTCAGGTGGGAAGAGAAATTTGCCTACCTTGAAAATTTTCATTTGTATTGATAAAATTCATCATAAGATTATGTCATTTCACTTGGTCTTATTTCTGTATTTTTGATATTTAAATAGAGGAAAAAATAGAATTTGTTGTTAAATTATCAAATTTGATGACTGTGGAGTTTTATATTCAGTAATTTTCAGCTATTATAACTTCCTTCTTTTTTTCAGTGGTTTAAAAGGCATGACTACCTTGTAAGTGCCCTCTAGGTATTGAAGATATATTTCTATGCAGTTCAAAAAATATTACTGTTCAAGAATGCAAAGAAGCTTGTCACCCAATGCTAATCATTGTCAGATACCCTGTATGGATAGCATATTTTATTTTAAAAAGAAAGCCTAAAAGTATATTTATGTTTCTTCTTTTTTAATTTTTTAATTTTAATTATTTTTTATTTTAGCAGAAAATGGCCCCCGTCTATTCGTGGAAGCAGAACAAGCCAGGGTGTTCTCACATCGAGGTGGCAATATTACACTGCCATGTAAATTTTATCGAGACCCTACAGCATTTGGCTCAGGAACCCACAAGATCCGAATTAAGTGGACCAAGCTAACTTCAGATTACCTCAAGGAAGTGGACGTTTTTGTTTCCATGGGATATCACAAGAAAGCCTATGGAGGCTACCAGGGTAGAGTGTTTCTGAAGGGAGGCAGTGATAATGATGCTTCTCTGGTGATTGCAGACCTCACCCTGGAGGATTATGGGAAATATAAGTGTGAGGTGATTGAAGGATTGGAAGATGATACTGCTGTGGTAGCATTAGATTTACAAGGTAGGTATCTATAAATCATTTTAAACTTGGAAATGATAATTAATCATTTTCTGTGACGAGTAATGTCTAGTGGTAACCATAGCGATTAACGTGAGAAATCAGAAGTCCATGCATAGCAGGCTTCTTTTCTTTTGTATTTTGCAGTCTGTCGCTGATTCCAGCTTTCGTATTTGAAATGTACACAAAATAGTTATACACAAAATTGAAGCTATTTGCAAGTAGGAGAGACGTGCAGTGGAATTGAATTAATAATATTTGGAAACTGCCTTATGCTATTCAAAGTTGAAATCTTATGACATGGTTATTGAGAAATTCAGATTGGATGCATTTTTATTATGCTTCTAACATTATCTCAGTTTCAAATTAATGGCAACTTTTGTGAAGGACATCTGCTAACTAAAATACCTGTTATTGTATTCTATAAAGTCACTGTGAAATCTTAATTTAACAAAAAAGCGCCCTCCAGGTTTATTTAAATAAATAAGTAAATAAGTAAACTTTTTTAAATGATCCAGAGTCTTTTAAACACCAAATACCAAACAATATAGGCATTCTGGGGGAATTTTTTCCCCTGAAATATGTAATCTACCCAGTAGTTTCAAAAACCAAAATGTAGAGAAATAAACAATAAAAAGTGTCCTCGCTGCCCAAAGTCCACCCTCTATAGACCCCACCAGTGGGGAAACTCTTCTCTGTTTCTCATGCATCTCAGAACATCTTATATTCATGAATTTCAGTGTTTCTTTACACTGAAGGATGAATTTTTGGCTGCTTTGGTAGAATACTTTCCTTCCTTCTGCACGTAAACTAGAGGTGTGTGTTTGCTAGAAGTCCCTTTTATAACCTAGGACAGATTTGTGCTTTTGGAAAAGCATCTGTTTGCCCCAGTAGCGTATCCCTGAAGAGGTGACCTCCTGAATCCCACAGAATCCCATCACACACATGGAGAATTCTCAGCTTTAGGTATCTAATAAATTGCATGCTATCATAAAGTACATTTTTGGGATCTTCTCTTGTCTCTCCTTTTTCCTCTTGTCTCTCTTAGTCATAGTTCTTGGCTCCTGATTCCATATCAACTTGTACTTTCAGTTTTTATTGAGTCACATGAATATCCATAAGCATTGGCATTATTCAAGATGAAAGAAGTGATTGGTTTAGGGAAAACAGTTAATCATCAAATATGAATGACAACCAATTTTCTTTATCGAAGGGGCAGCAGGCAGTGGACAGACCCTCGAGCTAGTAGTACCAACCAAAACTTTCAGGTTAGTCTCAGTTCTACCAGTATGAGTTTTGAAACTGGGGCAAATTATTTAATCCTTGTACCTGGCTTCCTCATCTATGAAAAACAGGTTGAACTACATTATCTGTTCAGTTACTTTTTCTTCTAAAATTCTGTTTCTATACCATGCCATATTTACTATCTCCCTACATTTATTTTAAAATGAAATTTTAAGTGACTAGAAAGCAGTAGAACTTGCCAGAAAGAGAAGGAAACCATAAAAATAAATACAATGAATATAAGATATCCATATTCCACCTGGATCCCTGCTTGCTAAGAGCTTTGAGCATGGAGCCTGCTATACTTTTGTTTAAAAAGGAACTTTACAATGTGTCAGAGGATGTTGCACTCCAAGGTCAAACTGAGACTGTATTCAAGACATACTTAGAGGTGTTGAAAAGGAAATGTAAAAAGAGTAATTTTTCCTGCCTAGGCCCTTCCCCATCCCAAATCACCACATTTTCCATGCTTTTGGAACACTTCCCTACCATATAACCCATTAACATATGAGCCAAGTAAATGTGTCCAAGAAACCAATTTAACTGATAAATATTTTTGTAAGTGCTATTTCGGTGCCAGGAGATGTGAAGATTTCCAAATCTTGGTTCTTTTCATTCAACGGTCTGACAGGCTATTAAAGATTCTAATACACTTTCAAAAGTAAGTATTTTAAAATAAGCAGAAATTATTACATTGTAGGTCAACTACCCTTCAAATATAATAAATAAATAAAGGAAATAAGGTAGACTTAGGTTATAGAGTAAGCAGGTACAAAGCCATTGCTCTACTCCCGTGCACCCTGTTTGGTTCACCTCAGTAATCCCCCTTGACAGAGGAGACTTAGGGAAAACTCCTTTTCTATGGTAACATGGCCAGTAGTAAGAGCTAGAACTGGAATTTGCCAGCAAGAACACTGGAAGAAGCCTCTGCTTTTATCCACTCTGATCCAAGGAGGAGAAATTCTCTGTTGGAGAGAAGACCAGAGACTTCCAAAAGGCAGCAGTCTTTGGCAGTTTCTGGCTGCAGAGGATTCTTAAAGCGCCCAGAGTGACTCGGGTGATCATCTACTGGCTGTCTTTGGTCACAGTGCATTAATTGGTGTGCTCATGGTGGCTCATGGTGGTTCCATTCCCCTCCCTGCAGGTAGCGTTTTTCTGCCTTTCTTGTGTGCTGCTGAAAGGGTAGAAGCAGTCATTAACCAGAGCACCTGCCTTGAAACAGCTAACATTTTAACCTTCGGCATTATACACATGAATCCATTTCTGAACAACTGAAGAACATACACATCTCTCAAGAGTAAGATTCGAGTTTCACCCTGTCCCCTCTGCTCCATAGCTGCGAAGCTCTCACACCTTACAGAGGGTTCCATTATAACTCTCATCACACTTTGTTTTGCAAAGTTGCCGACGTGCCTTCTCCACCCAATACGTACAATCTAGTTGACGGCATCAGGTACCAAGAACAAAGTTGTTCTTGTAAACTACTTGTTTACAAGTAGTTTGTACTTATAAACTCCAGTTTGCAAGTGACTGAATGTTGGATACAATGGGTTTAAGCTTTCAAAGACATAAACAAAACATGCACACCATGGACGGACGCCATGGAAAGTACTGCAAAGCAAGGAACGCTTGATTGGGACCGCAGAAGGCGAACATGGTCCTTCCAAAGGGAGAGAGTGTGGTTAGCCCCTAATAGCTCCAACCCAGTTTTTGACTTTTTTTCATTATCAGTTACATTCTTACATGTGACCATCAGGCAAGTTTCAGTCAAAGTCCTCATCAATCTGCTAATGTATGTAAATAAGACCAAGGAAGCATATCATTTTAAATGTCATGATGATGCTTTTTCAGCTGTACTTGTACAATGTTTTAAATTACATTGGTCCTTTAATACATGCTAAATGCTATGTTCTCCAAAGAATTTCTCCAATTAGGACAAAAATCATTCTTCTTTAAGATGTCCAAATTATATGGTTTGTATTTATAGTACAAGATTTTATTCTGTCTTGGATTCAATCTAAACTAAACTAAACTAAACTAAAAATGTGACACTTCTTTTTTTTTTTCCAATCTCCCATTGTATTGGTTTTCTGGTAGTGACAATGGGGCTAGCTACAAAAAAATATAGTCTGAGAACTTTTAGAAATAGAAAAAAATAATTCAGATGTGTGTATAGCACTGAGAGGCACTAGAAAGGCCACTGAGGAAGGGAAAATTATACTTATGGTGTCTATTACTCAAGTTACTGGAATTGACATTAGCTTTCATATGGGCTATGGAATGAACATCCTTCAGATGTCTGACAAATTGACATTTGCCTACAACTAGGATGAACTGGACTGTGCAATTATAAATATTAAAGAGTATGTTTTCAAAATGTATTTCTACTGACTAAACCACTCACATTCTTCTCCATACGTAGATCATCTTTATTAATTACCTTTGTCATGATGCATACCAGCCCTTCATGGGAAAAGAGACAACTTCTGATTACATTTTGACATATGAGGATAAAATAATCATACTTGGAAAATAATCACACGCCCTTCATTTTCACCGATGGAAGTTTACTTTGTATTTTTGTAATGCTGGATGAAAGCAATATCCATTCCCTCTACAATTCAGCTACAGGAAGTGCACATTTTTTCCACAGAGAAAGATTTCTGCAATTACAGTCTTAGATGTTGAAATCTTAATTCGGGGGAAGTAAAATAAGTAAATAAATAAAACACTAACAAACATGCAGTTTCAGAAATGTCCCTGCTTGTAAGAAACATCTGATTATTGAAATGTGTGCACCAAATGAGCACAGTATGGTGAAACTTTTACAACTTTGGCTGAGACACAGAAATAGACCTTGATTTACTTGGGATGCATTCTTTTCCATAATCGTAAACATTAATTAAAATTCAAGTAAACGTTTTGAATTAATATAACAATAAGTTGGCCATTCATTCCTACAGTTGCAAAATAATGAAGTTTCAGTATTGGGTTTCATTATGACTTTTTTTTTTTTAAGATTTTATTTATTTATTTGACAGAGATCGCAAGTAGGCAGAGAGCAGGCAGAGAGAGGGGGGGGAAGCAGGCTCCCCACTGAGAGGAGAGCCCGATGATACAGGGCTCGATCCCAGAACCCTGGGATTATGACCTGAGCTGAAGGTAGAGGTTTAACCCACTGAGCCACTCAGGAGCCCCTAATTATGACTTTTTTTTTTTTTTCATTATGACTTTAAGAAATGTTTGCATGAAGTTATGTTAAATTTGAAAGGAACTTAAATAAAAATACATTACACTGAATTTGGAACTGAATCAATCATGGTAACATTCAACGGTTAATCAAGAACCAACTACTCAAGAAAATTTTTTCCTAATTCCCACAAGAGTCCACCAAATACCACCACAGTGAATTTAAAACCAGAAAGGCCGTCTAAGTCTTAAAAATCATTGTAAATTAAAATATCCTACAGTCTCCACTATTCCCTTCTTGAGACATTTGGGAAACGGACTCCAATCCAAATGGTTTTTCCCTCCAGACTGAAACACTTTTGAGATTTTTCTCTCACTTGGGGTCTAGCTGCCAAGGAAATCTTTCTTGGATAAATTAAAAATTTTTCTTTTCGTTGGCATTGCTGGGGTTCTGAAGAAAGAGGATGAAAGGCATGAGAGGACAGGGAGAGCTATAGCAGTTCCTTCCCAGCCCTAACTGGGTTCTTAGCTGGATGCCTGGAAATAGCTCTTCTTCGATAGAACCATCTCAGGCTCCCCCCAACCCCCATCACTGCAGGGGGCAGTGGCAACTGAGAGAGTCTTTTCCTCCTTCCTTTTGGCTCTGATTCAACTTACAGATCCCTCAGCCAAGAACCTGAGAAGGCAGGATGAGATCAGGAAGCCTTCCTGGATCGCTGCCTCTAGGGAACATTGCCAGCTGGACCGTCCTAGAGGGACAAACGTGTCCAGCAGAGGCCTTGGGTGGACATGACTGGATTTAGGCTATTGAAATTTCTTCTTGTAGAGGCTTCCAGGACAATTTATAAAAGAAAACATTTCCTGTGTCCTGGTTACACCATTAGTGAATCGTACATTCATCTTGAACAGGGTCTGTGGTCTCATAAAACAGCACTTGTGATATAACTCACCAATTACTGTGTCAGTGGGACAATTTATTATATTCCACAAGCTAAAGCATTAATTATTTCTAATTATAACCAAAAATCCAAGGCAAGGCCTTAAATAACCACTCTGAATTAATTGTCCTTTATGGGGAGATATTTTGAGGCAGGGGTCCTTCTGAAAGTCCAGCAAATGATACAAGTTTGCTTTCTGATGCTGTAAAATTTTTATCATTGAAAGAAAATGCGCAGAAAGTTAGGAGATGGTTCAATCACCTCCAGTGATTATCTGACCCAAAAGAAGGCTTTGGGGAAGCCATTGGATCTTCCCAGGCAAAGTCAAGTCACACTGTTCATATTTGTTAAGGGTTTTTGTCCTCTCAAATATTTAACTTAATTCTTTGGCATTAACTCAACCGATATTTATTCTGTATCTGCCTTGTACAGGACAAGCTTTGAGAAGGGTTTGTGGGGTTTTTTTTTCCCTATTTGCAAGAAAAATGTTTTTAAAGGCTCATTTCAATTTACAACATATGAATATGGACACTGAAGAATTATTTTTAAACAAAAGTTCTCATTTTTGTTGTGCATACAAGAACAGAAAAAAAAATAATAATAAGATCAAGGGCTACAATTTAAAGTTGAAATGGATAACCGAGCCAGGATACCCTCAATGGAGTATGGAGTGAGGTATGCTCCACTGTAAAGAATTGGCTTATTGATATGAAATAAGGCTGCTTAATTAGGTTTTTCTTAAATATGTGTAAAATGATTTTTGAGTTTCTCCAAGTAAGAAACCCCCTAAGTGAAAGTTACTTGGGTAAGTAAGTTTCTAGGAGCATATATAAAATAATGTATCTAATTTGAATCACTTGTTACCATGTTTGTTTACACATTTAAAAGGCTGTCCTGGGCACCCGGGTGGCTTAGTTCTTAAGTGGCTGCCTTCGCTCAGGTCATGATCCCAGGGTCCACTCTCTGCTCAGCAGGAAGCCTGCTTCTCCCTCTCCTCCCTGCTTGTGTTCCCTCTCTCGCTGTGACTCTCTCTGTCAAATAAATAAATAAAATCTTAAAAAAAAAAAAAAAAGAAAATGAAGAATGAATCTATCATAAATAAATAAAAATAAAAGGCTATTTAAGTGGGGCACCTGGGTGGCTCACTTGGTTAAGCATCCAACTCTTGATTTCGGCTCAGGTCATGATCTCAGGGTCTGGGATCAAACCCTGAGTCTGCTCTACACTCTGTGCCATGGAATCTGCTTGAGATTCCCTCTCTCCCTCTCCTTTTGCTCCCCCTCACTCCGAGGCGCTCTCTCCCTGAATAAATAAATAAATAAAATCTTTTTTAAAATAAGTAAAAAAATAAAAGGCTATCCTACGCTAATTACTAATTATATAACTACTAACAAAAAACATGCAAATTCTGATAAATTCCTTCACTCTGAGCACTATTTCTATTCCTTCCCCCACTATTAGTATTCAATATTGACTTTTTCCTAGCTGAAAAGGACTCAGTAGTAATCCATTTTAAAGTTATTAACAGAAGCAGCAGAAGGTAAATTCTCAAGGAGGCTATTTGAAAAATATAACCCATGGATGAATCATTCCAAAAAGGTGAATGTTAAAGCTTAAATTGAACTCTTAGTGAAAGGGTAATTCACTGAAGTCATCAAACCGCATATCTTAACTGTGAAATGCTCAGAGCTGAGAGGCTGTTTGTAGGGGAAAGGGACCACGAGAAACCCCTGCAAGCTGACCAAAAACAGTAACTTCATCTGATGGAGACTGTATTCTGTTTTCACCATTCAAGCGACATTTGCTCACGGTTGTTACTTTCTGTCCCACTAATCCCTTGGTCTCTCCTTTGGACAGGTGTGGTATTCCCTTACTTCCCACGACTCGGGCGCTACAATCTCAATTTCCACGAGGCACAGCAGGCGTGTCTGGACCAGGATGCTGTGATCGCCTCCTTCGACCAGCTGTATGATGCCTGGCGGGGCGGGCTAGACTGGTGCAACGCCGGCTGGCTCAGCGACGGGTCTGTGCAGTACCCCATCACGAAGCCCAGAGAGCCTTGCGGAGGCCAGAACACGGTGCCCGGTGTCAGGAACTACGGGTTTTGGGATAAAGACAAAAGCAGATATGATGTTTTCTGTTTTACATCTAACTTCAATGGTAAGCTATTAAGCTCTTCAGTAATAGTAAGATATTACTGCCTTCTTTCCTGTCCTGGGGACCAATGTGTACTATAACACCACACTCAATTTTTAATCTTACATGCTTTGATGTATTGCCCTGAGTTAGAAAAGATGAAAAGTTCTTTAACATCATAATTTAAAAAAATATTCACGGGAGCAAAAATGTCCATTTCCACTATTCCTAGGTATTATTGCATCTGATTGTAATTATAAAATGGTTTAAGTTGAAATATTCTACAGGGTCTGTTTGTTATTGACATAGATGATGCTGTCACTGTGTGTAATAGAGATGTGTGCCATGGGATACAGGTCTCTAATTGAAGGGAGAGTAGCCTCTATGTCATACTCTAAATTACAAAGTCAATTATGTTCATAGTTGATCAGTAAAACTCACAATAATGAGACAGCTCAGAGTAAAGAGGACTTTGCAAAACAAAAACAAAAACAAAAGCCCAACAACAACAAGAAACAAAAAAAGTAGCAATGACACTGGAGACGAAAGCAGAAGAAAAGAGATATAGGTTGTCTCCGTGTTGATGGTAGGTCTGTTGCCTTCAGTGTAACTCCCAACCCAGTCTTCCCCATCCAGAACCATCTACACAATTTGTGGGACCTAGTGCAGAATGAAAATGTGGGTTCAAAATTTATGTTCAAAATTCATGTTCATAATTATTTTCAAAATTTATGGTCACAATTATGTTCAAAAATTATGCATTTTAAGATGGTGACAGAAGTACATTCAACACACATGGAGCCCTGTGTAACTGCACAGGTCACACGCCCATAAAGCAAACCCTGGCCCCATCATTTTCTATGTTAGTTCCCTGGCAACATGCTTTGGGAAAAACAGGAAGGGATCAGGAATGAACCAACTTTCTGTAAAGGGCCAGATGATAAATATTTTTGGCTTTTGTGGGCCGCGCAGTCTCTGTCGTAGCTACTCAGTGTAGTTTTATACGTTGTAATGCAAAACAGCCACAGAGAGTATGAAAAGGATGGGTATGCCTGTGTTTCAACACAACTTCTGGCGACCTGTGTGCAGTAGTGTGCGGACCTCTGGTATGGATGACAGAGCCAACCTTCTAACTCATGCTCTGGTGGCCTCCACCTTTCCTCCAAATCACACTGTCTTAGTCTCACCCGAAAGAACAGGCAAGCATTAATTTATACTGCAGGAAGCTGTATGTAATGGAGGGCAAGGAGACGTCCCACTACAATGTATAATCAGGTAAGAGAGTCTGATTATATTCCACTGAGACTCAAAGTCTGAGAAAATCTTCCACGTAGCATTTCAGCCAGTTGATGTCCTACTTTATACATTGTATGCATATTTAATATACACTGAAGGTATTTCAGTAATTAACTTTATTCAATGAGTGGCTAAGATTAATCCACTCTTTCTTGTGCAATCAAGAAATGGTTAGGTGTCAGAGCTCCCACTGAATACATAAATTTATCCTCTTTGCTAGTAACTGAACAGACTCGGTTCACATTCTGAGTCCGCATTATTTATGGCAAGTGACTTCCTGTATTTTTTGCATTTTCATACTGTAGTCTTTGAATCAGAATAATGTCTTATTGATACCTGTAATGAAAAGGACTTGAGGGCTTTTGATTTTTTTTTAAATGGACTTTTATGTCAGGAATGTTTTTTGATCTTTTCACATTCAAATTTTGCCTCTCCAGAAACTTGTGCTAGGGTTCAGTCTTGTACAGCTAGAATTTAAATAGCTCTTCCTTTTAACATGGAATTCTGTCTTCTGTGGTGCTACAGAAGGGCCCTTTTAGTCACTAATTAGCTAACAGAAAGTGCATCTGTCATTTCCCTTCTCGGTTTCAAAGCTCTAAAAGGGCACGTCTGAACTTATATTAAGGGACAAGGAAAAAACTAATTTAATGGAGAATGACCGGGAGGCGCTACCTTTAACCCACAACCCTGCATTGCTCTATCTCCCCCTTCCATGGGGAACATTTCCTTTTGGGCTGCTTCCATCTCTGGGCGGCTCAGCAGCAGACGGGCGCATGACTCTCTCCCCTTCTCTCCGCAGGCCGGTTTTACTACCTGATCCACCCCACCAAGCTGACCTACGACGAAGCGGTGCAAGCTTGTCTCAACGATGGTGCTCAGATCGCAAAAGTGGGCCAGATCTTCGCAGCCTGGAAACTTCTGGGATACGACCGCTGCGATGCGGGCTGGCTGGCAGATGGCAGCGTCCGCTACCCCATCTCTCGGCCGAGGAGGCGCTGCAGTCCCACGGAGGCTGCTGTGCGCTTCGTGGGGTTCCCAGATAAAAAGCATAAGCTGTATGGTGTCTACTGCTTCAGACCATACAACTGAGCGTGCCCCTAGAGCACATCAGTTTTAAAGTCATTAAGAACATGTGAAAGGTTTTTTGTTTTTTTTGTTTTGTTTTGGGTTTTTTTGTTTGTTTGTTGTTTTTTTCAATATGAACTCGTGCAAGTTACCAAAACTGTGATAACCCTTTTTTACTTACTGGAAAGAGTCATTTTCATAAAGATCAATTCATGAATTTGTTTTTGTAAAGCTATCATTCAATATATATTATAAATTAATATAATTTTAAGGGAAGCGCTAGATAAGGAGGCTTTAGAGCCAAATTGTTTAGGCTACATCATCCCAGTGAAGTATCCTTTCATGAACGGGGCATGCAATAGCTTGAGGGTTGTGAGGGTGACATTAAGGAAAGTGCAGCTACTCAGAGCAGCAGCTTCCACAAGCACAAATTTTACACATTTGTACAATTTTAAAATGCACTACAATCTACAGATTAGAGCAACGGATTTGAAATACAGGCTTCTTTACATAAACTGAGAGGTTGCACAAAACTCAGTTTCACAAGGGAACAATCTACACTTTTCTAAAATATATTATTTCAAGTCTCCAATAAACAGAACATTTTAGTCTTTAAAATCCTGCCTTTTTGACCAAAAAAAAAAAAAAGAGAAAGAAAGAAAGAAATTCATATGGACTCCAATGCATACTGACAAGCACAGTTAAAACTCCTTAATAACCCCATTTATATGAAGTATGAAACATAAATGAGCAGATAATACTTAACCAATGAGAGACTCCTATCTTCTTTTAATTGAAATGACAGGTACCTGAGAAAATCATTAAATCTTTTGAGTAGCTTTACTGAGTTATATTTAAATTCTAAGGGCCGTCTGCTAAGCAGCATTAGCATCTACTCAGGGCAGTTATATAGATAAACTGCTGGACAGAAAAATTGTAAAATTTAGCAGCTTGATTTTATGTTAGCCTATGAAATATATTGTCCTATAAAAATAACTTTAAACTATTTAATATTTCCTTCTTATTTACCTTACAGGAAAAAAATTTAAACCACAAAAGAAATGAGTAACTCAACACTAGCCTAACCAACGACAGACAACCAAATACAGACCCAACTTTCAAAATTCTCATTATTCTTCTTTGTATATACTAGAAAGCCCAAATGGTGCCTGTGTGTGGGGAAACAAGAGAACAAAGTCGTTCTAAACCTTCCTCCAAATAGAAAACGTGGTCAGTGATGTCACTTTCCTTGCTGGTCATCATTAGGCTTAAATGAAATACAGAACCTCCCATCAAAGAGTTTACACTAAAATCTTCAGGGCTTTAAATGAAAGGGTAAGGCCAGCTTAGAAAAACAACTTTAGACATTAGCAGCTCCAATATTAAATAAAGCTCTGTTTTCCTATATTTTTATGACTATTGAGACCCCGCAGGGACCAATATTTGTATTCAAATTACATTTCATGGTTTCCCATTGTTTCACAATGAGTTCTAATAAATGGGATTTAGTATAATAATCCAAGTATGACATAGCTAGTATGCTTTCATGAATGTTTTTATGTAGATTTTCCTCCCATGAACATGAGTAAATAAATCTGTTTCCTGAATTGATTGTGGTTGCATTTAAAGCTCTGTAATAATTTTAATAAATTTACTCTATAGAGTTACATGTGTGGAAGGTATAGAACAATTGGAAGTCCATGAAACCATAATTATACCCATACATTATCTAGAGAAAATATTGTAAATAAAAGTAGATCATTTCTTTTATCAAAGCATATCTGGGAAATTTCAGATGCTTCAATATTAAAAGAGGATAGTGTTTGCATGCACATTTTTACATTAGGTTGGATACACAAATTGTACAAAAATATAAATCTAAAGAGGTTGTAAAGTTTAACTCAAACACGGCTGATACAACTAGCAAACTTCTAAATTAAAAATACCTGAATGGTCTAGGGTAAGATGAATACATCATTTAAAGAGGGGACCATCTCCAAAACAGCAACTTTAACACCTCAAATATGGGGGGTAGCATAATGGAGGGAGCCCATGTGTGAATGATTATGACCCACATTTCAAGAATTTTATTAGAAATGCAAGTGGGAACACATTTCTATTGAAGCAGGTATATAATTTTGAGTTATTGCTGCAGAACTCTACCTTTATAATATTAAGCATAGTAGGGTTTCTTAACTTTTGAATACTTACTAGTATTGGAATTGGTGCTGTTCAAAATCTCTGGAGTGACTGTTAGCTAATTAAAATCTATACTGATTGCACACCATTTTTCCATGCTTATTAAAAAAAATCTTAACAGAATGAATACTGCTGGGCAGAATTTTTATCTTCTGACTTCCCCAAAAGGATCAGAGTCCCCTAACTCCTTTGGACTCCTTCCTGAAGGAGGGTTTTTAAAATGTTTTTATTTTACAGTTTTTCCATCAATGTCTCTTTTCCTACTTCATTCCCCAAGATAGCTCACTGAGGATTTCTAAAAAAGAAAAGCTATCTTAATACATATAATTCCTAAAAGAAAGTCAGTGTAGCACTGACGAATTCAGATATTACTCCTCAGACTTGGGTTCCAAGAGTACCAGAGGCATGAGGTGGGAGTCTCAATTAGGAAATTTTGTTTTGACCATTTTGTCCATAATTAACAATTGTGGCCCATACAAGGAACAAAGTTGACTTGCAAATGTCAATGAGATACCTACATTTGAGAACACCAACCAAAAGAAATGATTCACGTGGAAAGAGGGAATAGGAATGAAAATAAGTCATATTAACACTGGAAACCATCTTTAAATGACTGCTGCCATATTTTATCATGGTAATCTTTAGTCAAATATGGTATTTGTAATTTTGAACCGTCTGTCATAGAAAGGGGGCCGGTACCTATGTTTAAGCTTTATTTTATGCAATAATGTAGTTGTTTATTATTTTGGCAATTAGAAGTAGACTCAAAGGAGATTCCAATTTGGTTGCTGGCAGCCATACTGGGTTTCTTCAGATCAGTGCTCCAAAGAATATGGTGGTCCCATAGAGTAGCTGACCACTAAGGAGGGAAGAAACTGATAAACCTATCAGTTTTCAACAAAGAACGCATCAAGAATGATCAATGGAAAACGGACAGTTTTGTTGAGAAGTGAACTGTATCATAGCTCACTACTGCCAGAGCAGCAATGATGTACAACAAAAGAAATGAGAAATTCAAGTCATTAAACCACCTGATTAAAAGAAAAACCAGTATTTAAAGGCATTTAATACCTACTGAGTACAAATCTGAGGAGAAGAACCAATCTGTATTACCCCCCACAAAATGTTTTCATTTTCTGTAAGATACAATGAACTGATAAACAAACATTAAAAGTCAATTTTGTGTTACCCCAGTATCTTTTGATTCGTCTGAGTTGTAGAATCTTAGCTATTAATCTTTGGTCAAACTCTATAAATATACATTATTTCAAGAAAAGACATTTAACCCATCCTTGTTTTGATACATTTCAGTTCAAATTGTAAACAACATAACAAAATTTCCATTTCTTATTATTTTTGCAAGGTTGGGGGGAAAGTGCCTATCTATGGTAATGCTAAATCACCCATAGTATATCCCAAAATCTTTTGGCTTTTTTTTTCCTTTTTATATGATTCAAATCTTCATTTATTTTGCTCACCATGTTAGCAATCCCAGAAATCTGTGGTGTTAATTAAATTAATATGCTTGACATGCTTTACGACCTCAATTATTAGTACTGAATTAAAAGAAAGATCCTTATTTTCATAGTAAAGTCCTTATACTCCAATAACAAGGAATATACCTTCCCTGAATTTTCAACTGGGAGAATACTTTCTGGAGATTGCTGGCATACAGAAACCACTTCTTGGGTATAAGAGTCTATAGCCAGTACAATGACTTGAATGCAAACACACCCAAAACAGTTTGAGCCATTGACATTCAAACACTAAACTACACTTTAAAAATTTTCCCATACTTATTTGGAATACAACAAAAGCCTTGGAGAAGAGAGAACAAGAGTAAATATGAAGTTAAATAATATTTAAGTGCTTAAGTTCTGACAGAGATGAAAGATACCATCTTTGACTTTGCCAGCAAATTTCATGTCTGACTAATGCCCAGTCAAATACAAAGCCCACTTGGTACCAGTATCAAAGAGTTGTATGGAATTTCAAAGTGCTTAAATAAGTGAAACTTTTCACATGTGATGCCCTTAGTTCCCTACCAAGTGATAACCCTTAATCCTGAGACTATTCTTGACTAGAACAGTCCCGGTCCGGGATGGTCAGATACACAAGGAGACTAAAAACAGTAAAGGATTATGGGTAGGATGAGGGAGAGAAGAAAGCACTAAGAAGAAACTGATACAAAAGTGTAAGAAAAGAATTTTTCTTTTCATGTCTCGATTTCTTGGGCTCTCTATTTAGAATTACTTAGAGGCACAGCTTAAGATGGCTCTACAGTCTTTACTTCTCTGTAGATGATGTATTTAGGACATTGTCAGCAGGCTACACACCCCAATCTGATGGAGGAAATTCACTACACACATATTTTTTTCACTAAGAAGCAAACAAAGCTTATTTATTTTCTCTATATTTCTTTCCAGCCAATAAAGTTTGTCACCTCCATAGCCACTCGTCATCTGAATCAACTTGGGTCAGCCCAGAGCATGATTCCATGTCTTTCTTGAAATCAACCAATTTTCCTTCTCCGCTTCTCTCAGTCCACTGGGGCTGTTCAGCATCAGCGGCTTCAGCTATTAAAAGATGGCTCTTTATTTAGCTGGTGTCTGACTACAGGCTGAGCTCTGTTTACTTAGGGGGATACTCCCATGGTGGAGAGAAAGCTCAGATTCTCCAGTACCTAACAGTGAAAATCTACTGGCTTTAACAACAAATACAAGATTCTTGGATGGCAAAAGAATTCCAGGAGGATTTAATTCCCATCTTTTTTCTTTCTAAGAAAGAGCCCCAATCATCAGCTCCCCAACCTGCTTAAAATATCTGGGTTTTAAAAATTTGTGTGTTGTAAAATATTTCTCCTTTTGATTTTGATCAATGAAAATTCTG